ACAAGACAAGACAAAAATTATGCCATTTTGGCCGATATGTTGCAGAAGCGAAGCTATTTTGTCTAAAAAGTTTTGTCCCAGGCTGGAGTGTTCATATGGGAAAACTTTCATCCTGGTTACTGAGATCTTGGTATCCAGGCTAGCCCAGCTTCTCATATGAACACATCGACGAAGGAAAGAGTGGCGAGGCGAGATCTCAGAAACCGAGTTAGCCCAGTTGACCCGGCTCGTATGAAGAGGCCCTCAGTCCTGAACTAAAGGGATGTCTTTGTCTTCCTCTCCGGGTACAAATGGGTAGGGAAACTTAAACATCTTTAACTGGTCACCAAAATGCAATGTTAAAGAGCGACAAAAAGTGATAGCACCTCCCTCCATGACACCTCTTGTAAATAACCTGTTTTCCAAAATACCAGAAGTTTTCTGGTCAAATCACTAAAGCTGGAACCTCTGATAAGTGATGACCTCTCCTTTTTTCCCTCTTATTGTTAGACAACAAAGTTCATGGCAAGACATTTGTAAACCTGAAATGGCCAGACCTCAGTGAGCTCTTATCTGACTTTAATGATAAGAAAGAATTATGGGATTGTCATGAGGAAATGGTAAGGTCTGCATTTGGCACAAAAATGGGTATTCCCAGGCTGTTTAATTTTGCATGTTCTGGTAATAGTTAAAGGAACCATTTTTTTTGTACCTGCATGCCCTAATTGTCAAGTTACAACCCCTAGGAACCTCCCCCTGGCTTTGTGTCTTGTAATTGTGTATACACTTTAAGGTTGGGTGTCCGGTTTCCAATAATTGTTGAAAGAGGACACCAGTACTTACTTTTACTTCAGAAGATTCAGAGGTTGCTGCATTTCTCTGTTTCCTATCACAGCGCAAGACTGGTTTCAAATTGGCTCTCTCTGAGTTTACTAATGGGGAGGTATGGACATTTTATTATAAAAGTTACATCTTTAAATTGTGACCGGCAGTATCATGTTTTGGGGCTCCTTTTTACCAGGAAATTTCAGGTTAAGATTTATGGTTTTCTTCTAATCTAAAACTAAGGCTTTTAAGGGCCACTCCAGCCTTCAAATTTTCAATGCTCTGTTCAGCATTGTATGGTTATTCTTTGGGACCATACAACGTATGTGATTCAAAACAAACAGGGTGCTAAATATAACTAAAGTATGATGTTCTTAATTCATGGTTGCCAAGATTACTGCCCAGTGATGTACCAAATAAGAGGTTAGTGGACTGGAAATACAATTTGCTGTGAAAGGCACCCAGTTAGGGAGACATTGCCTTATTCAACAAATTATGAAACATTTCAATTCAGTGCTGGTAACTAAATGTAGCATGATGAAAAATATGTTGCAATGATACATCAATTTTTGTTGCTGGATTTATCTATTTCAGAGGAGAAATTTGGCTGCATTAACATGCTCGCCTGCTAGTACAGAGTCAGTGGAGAGCGACACTGAAGATTCATCATCAGATTTGGGGCAAGAGCTAACACCCATAGTCCCAAAATTAAAGAGAATGAGCTCAATTGTTCAAGGACCAAAGGCCAAGAAAATTGCTGTATCAACTGCCCAGATCCAACCCAGCTCTGTTGACCTAAAGAGCTTTAAGTTTCCAATGTCACCAGAATTAAAGGAGTGTGTGAAGAAAGGGGGCCCTGTTCCTGATCACCTAAGGCGTCAACTTATTAGAGAATGTGTGACATGTCTAAAAGCTGAATGTGGGGAGTCCATACCAAATGATGCATTCAAGATTGCTAGCAAGGTGATATGTGCAGAAGTTCCTAAGCTGAAAGATGTACAACCTCCAAGGTGGCCAGAGGGTGTCAAATTTGAGTATTGGGTAAATACTATGTCTTTTTCAAGTTATTCAAAACTGCTTTTTTATGGTACATAATGTGTAATGCCATTGAATAGAGGTCACATCAGTTCCATTCCTCCATAAATGGATCAATATTGTAAATCCATGAATTTATTTAGGCTAGGGTCAGGTTGTATATTTCAAGGGCAAGTCAGGATGCCCATCCAAGAGGAAACTCTCAGTTAATTTTTCTCAAGGTACATGTATCATATCCTGATCGAGAATTAATATGCAAAACTGTTTTAGTAGCAGCTAGCACGTACTCAATTATTTACAGTTCATTAGACATGAATCCTCTCTGATTGCCAATTACTGTAAACAGTGACAAGTGATAAACATAGCCAACATTTAACTCAATTTTTGTTGGCTCAACTCATAGTAAAGGGTGGAAGAGGGGGCCTACTTAAGGGGTCTTATTTCCAATTTTGTTTGATAGGAGGGCTGCTTATTCAGTACATAATATTCCTTGTCTTGGAAAAGAACAGAGGACGTTATTTTCAGTTAAATAACATTTTTCTTTTTCAATGCTTGTATCGATTCAGTAAAATATGTTGATCACTCTCATAACGGGTCACATGACCAGACCAGTTGAATGCAGTTATTAAAATTTTTCAATGAATTGAATGTGAAAATACTTTTAATAGCAAGCCTTGAATTAGGATGTCTCAATATTATTTTGTTAAATTGAAGAAAAATGTCTCGATATTTTGAAAAACACCTTGAATGGGTTCATGTGTATAAAATTACAGGGTTCATTTGCCACAGGTCAAACCTATTTTATCTAATATGATAATTTTGTTTTAATATTTAGACCTCGGTGTGGTATATGTTGAAGAAAAGATACATGAACATCAGGCCCCGGAAAAGTGGAGAAAGCTCCAAATCTAAAAAAGGCCAACAATGTGTACTTGAAGTATCTGAAAAGGATAATGAAAGTCTGCTCAAGGAGCTAGAAAAAGAAGTTTGTGGAAAAAGGAAGAAGAAGGAAGTTAATTGGGAATCTGTAAAGAAACTACAGAGGTTGACATTCTCCACCAGAAAAGAAACCATAGAGGACATCACTGGAAATAATGTTGTGTCAACAATATTGGAGAAGTTTCCTTTTCTCGACAATGAAACATGTGTAAGTCGCATTCACTTCTAAGTGAGAAATAGTAGACAAAGACAAATATATTGTCATTAGACTAGCTTAGCACAGCTTCAGTAGTGTGGTGTGAGAAAAACTAGGTGTGAGCTCAAACAAATTGCTCCGATTGTCCACCCAGGTGAAAACTTAACTTGGCCTAGGGTGAAACTTTCTTCACATGAACTGCAAATTTTCTACCCTGCCTCATCCTCCTCCTCCCTCAAAAGACAAACGTTGACTTTAAATTTCACCTCATACAGCCTGAGGCCATTTTTG